CCTATCCCCGGGGGTCATGATATGAACAAACTTGAATCTACACTACCTGACAATAATTCCACATAAGTTTCATCTTTTCTGGCCCATTGGTTCTTGAAAAGAAGATTTTTGAAAGATGCAATTAATTTTTCACTATTTTGTAATTATCTCTCCTTTGAAGAGGGCATGACCTTCATTTGAACAAACTTGAATCTCTTTCACCCATGGATACTCTGTGCCAAGTTTGGTTGAAATTGGCCCAGTGGTTCTTAAGATGAAGATGAAGTTGTGGAAAGTTAACGACGACAACGACAACGACAGACAACGGAAAATTTCAATCAGAAAAGCTCACTTGAGCCTTCGGCTCAGGTGAGCTAAAAAGTCAAAATAATATTTTGAGATAACAGACTCAAACTGCGTCGACAATATCATGCGTCATAGTTGTTGTCTATGAAGAGGTTCCTCGATCCTTTCTCTATATACTGAAATAAAATGTTCATGTATAAAGTGTCCTTCTTGATATACATATGCATGTACATGTACTTTATTTTAGCAAATAAATTATACAACATGTTATCTTGACCGGAAGAGAAATCGACAAGCTTTGTGTGAAGACTAAAATCAGTCCAGGCCATAAAGGTCGGCGCTTAATTTATAACGAAATGTTCCTTTTCAGTTTCATCATTGATATAAGTCATGGAAAAGACTTTGAAAATTCAGCATTGATGTTGAAAATATTTTAGAAAAAAAAAGTTTTAGCTCATTTAAAAAATGGTTTAATCTCAGTTTTTAAGAAACTGTTCAAGATATTTTTTTCAAAGCTTACGTGCTGATATATATTCATGAGAGTGATAAACTGCATTAACATTTTTGAAGCCGTGTTTGTTGATACATAGATGGGAGAGCTATTCAACTTCATCAACAATTTAAGCCTTCACCTTTCTTTTCATCTTGACCTCACCTCTCTCAAATTTGTTTTTAGCTCAGTTTCAAAGAAAATACCGGTATTCAAGATATTTTTTTAATCAAAGTATATATGCTGATAATATTGATGAGTGCTATTCAACTACATCAACATTTTGTGACCTAGTCCTTTCCTTTTAACCTGAACTCACTTTTCAAAAAAATGTATTTAGCTCAGTTTGAAAAAAATCAACTTTTAAATTTCTTTGACCTTGACTTTTCCTTTGACCTTTTCCTCACTTTTCTTAAAATTCTTTTTAGCTCAGTTTCAAAGAAACTATGCAAGATATTCAAACCTCGTATACTGATACTTATTTGTGAGAGTTACTAGCTTCATTCATATCTTTTGACTTTGACCTGCTTTTCTCAAATTTGTGTTTAGCACAGTTTAAAAGAAACTTCTCAAAATATTTTTTATGAAACTTTATATACTGATATATATTGGTGAAAACTATTCAACTTTATCAACATATTTTGATTTTGACCTTTCCTTTGACCTTGATCTCACTTTCCTTAAATTTTTGTGTAGCTCAGTATAAACACACTATTCAAGATATTATCATCAAACTATACACACTGGTACATATTTGTGAGAACTATTCAACTTCATCAACATATTTTGATTTTGACCTTTCCTTTTGTTAATTATTAGGCATAAAACTCAGCTTTAAAGAAACTTTTCAAGATATTTCCATCAAACTTCATACACTTACACACATTTTCATGCAGTACTAATGACCCCTAGGCTGGGCATTCATGTCCTAGGGACATATTTCTAGTTAAGGATGGTTTTCGTGTAGGCCTATGTAAAATTTGATTCTCTACTGTGACCCAGGTCTACCCCCAGGGACCATAATTTGAATAGACTTCCATCTGCAGTACCTGAGGATGCTTGCAAGCTAAAATTATACTGATCACAGTCTAGTTGTTAATCAGAAGATTTTCAAAGATTTCTCTTATATATTCCCATGATAAATGTAGGTCCCCTATTGAGACCACATCCTACCCCTGCATGACTTGAACGAATCTAAATATACATTAGGCGAAGATGCTTGAATATCAATATAACTAATCAATGTCTACTTGTTATTGAGAAGACTATTTTTAAACATCTGTTATTTTATATCCCAATGTAGGATAGGATCTCCTATTATGCTCCCACCCTGCCCAAAAGGGGCATAATGTGAACAAATTTGAATCTGCACTACCTGAGGATGCTTGCATATTAATATGACCAATCATGGCTTTGCTGTTCTTAAGAAGAAGATTTTGAAAGAATTTTCCTTTATTTCTTTTGTAACATTTTGATGCCTCACGTGGCAAAACCCTACCTATACGTGGGCAATGATTTGAACAACCCTCAATCTACACTAAATCAGAAAGCTTTCACATTTGTTTCATCTTTTTTGACCCAGTGGTTTTTGAAAAGATTTTTAAAGACATCCATCCATATCATGCCTTTTTACCTCACCTGAGCCGAAGGCTAAAGTGAGATTTTCTGATCAAAATTTGTCCGTTGTCATCGTTGTAAACTTTTCACATTTTCATCTTCCCATCACTGGACCAATTTCAACCAAACTTGGCACAGAGTATCCTTAGGTGAAAGGAATTTATGATTGGCCACACCCTTTTCCAAGGGGAGATAAATAAAATACAGTGAAAATTAGGTGTGGTCATTTTCAGTCTTTTCAAGAACCACTGGGCAAAAAATGATGTAACATAATTAAAAACTTCTTGATACAGTGTAGATTCAAATTTGTTAACGTTTAAATCATGACCCCCGGGGGTAGGGTGGGAGCATTGTGGGCGATCAAAGTGGTAATATAGGAAAAGTCTTTAATTGAAATATCTTCTCGATCAAGAACAGCAACGTCCTGATCAGTAATATTCATATGGAAGCATCCCCAGGTAGCTTAGACTGAATTTTGTTCAAATCATGACCCCAGGGATAGGTACACAATGTCTCAAAGCCCAAAGGCAGTGTTGATTCAATTTTTTTTTTCAATTCATGACCCCCAGAGTAGGGAGGGTCATTGGCGACCAAAGTTTTACATAGGCATACATAGGAAAAATTGACTAATTGATTTGCAAACAGTTTGAAATTAATACAGTTTTATTTTTTTTTAAATATTTAAATAGTGTATAAAAATGCAAGTAAGTCAAGTCTGAGGTGAATGCGTTAAACTTAATGAATAAATTCTCCTAAATAGCCACAACAACCAAAATAATGTTTTCATTTTCCACACAAGTTTTCCGAGCAAACTATTTAAAACAGGCTTCGGTTTTTTAATCTCATCTAATAAATCCCACATATCTTCATCTAGCTGAATATTTCTCTGGGTCTGTCATGCGTAATTTTTTTTCTATCGAATGAAAGGTGAGGGCAATTGTTGAATCCACATTCTTCAAAAGTTATGTCCCTCGGCTGCCATCTTTGCGGAAAACCCAAAAGACACCACTTAGTAGCCTTTGTAGTTTTCTGGTTTGTAACTCTGACGTTTGACTGGAAAAAATCTTTGCAATGAAAAAGGCGAAGATAACGAACAGTGATCGATCTCAAAAACCCATAAACACTACAAATTTGTAAGCAGGGCATAAAACACGGACCCCTGGAAATTCCAGAGGTGGGATCAGGGCCTAGGAAGAGTAAGCATCCCCTTTCACATATGATTAACGGCGGATGTGATCGGTCGACAGGGGATGCTGATCAGGAAGATGGAATAATTCGAAATGCCAAAAAAATTGTATATTGATTGCCCAAGGATGGGGCTACCCATACACTGAATAAAAAAAAAATAAGCAAAGTGGATTTATCAAAGCACACCAAATTGTTTATGAGAATAAAGTGGACACACACTGAGCAAAGTGTAGACTGGACTATTGCAACGCATAGCAATCAAGCTAAATAAAAATCCGATTAAACATTACGAAAGAGCAGAACAAGTAAATGGAGGAGTAAGCATCATATGAAGTCCCGTACACTTGAACATTGTACTGAAAATAGATTCCACATTTTGACTTTTAACGAGGATGTTCATTCCTTTGTACCATCAACTTATTTGTCAGTAGCCTTAATCGATTTAGAAATTGATCGTAGATCATAAAGTCTGATTTCAGATGAAAATTTGTGCATAGATGTATACTCAGTACACTGTATTCGTAGTATCTTACTGAAGAACAGTGTTTTGTCAGTGTCTCTTCAAGTCAATGAATTATTTGAATTCAATAGAAAATACTGTTACATCTTACAGATATATCTCCAACTCATTTAAGATAAGACATACTTTTCAACTCATCTTTACACTACATTTTAAACACAACAAAATTGACTTTGCATTTGTGAAACATATGTAAGAAAAGTAAGTTTATCAACTTCTGCTTGAGACAATAAATAAATAATAATAAAGAATATCTTTAATGTAGAGCATTTTAATATCGGTTTACATGCTAATATGAAGAGGCCCATGGACCTTGACAGTCACCTGGGAAGCTGGGTCTGGAATTATGTGACCAAAGATGGTGAGGACTCTGTATTGTTATATCTTGTTAATGAAGATTGTCTCTTAAGAATTATTCCAGAAATAAAGAAGAAAAATTTCATTACAGTATATATACAAATTAGACCCACATTAATTTGATAATTTTGGTAAAGGGTTAAGTACTCATTGTCATCATGCTAACTGTTTGTCTAATGCATGCAAGAAGAAAATTTTCAAAGTTGTAAAGTATTTTTCAATAAATGAGTTACTTAGCCCCGTCCTTGGACATGAACCATATGCCAGGGGGCCATGACCTTCAAATTTAAAATTTTGGTAGAGGGCTAAGTGTTCATTACAATTATGTAAACATATCTTCTGCTAGATGTTCATGGGTAAAGAAGAATATTCTCAAAAAGCTGAAAATGTTCAAAAGTTAACGACGACGAAGGACCAAAACAGATAGCAACAGATAGCAATCGGTCATTGAAGTGACACTGGCGCCATAAAAATGAAGAGAATACAATGAAAATATAATAAGATAATTAAGAAAAATTGTTAAATTGTTAAACTGGTTAAGCACTGTAATCTATGATGATTTTCAATGTCTCTAAAGAATCATGCAGGTGAAGAAACAATTTATATGAATATTGCTTTGTGAAAGATGTAATTTCATAAATTATTCTGAAGAATTATATTTCATTTAAGCAAAAAAATTTAAAACTTTCATCATCCTCCAAAAAATTTTAATTTGTGTCCTCCGGTTGATCGTCTTCCTTGACATTTGATTCGCCCTTTTGTTGGTTATCTGCTCCTAAAACAACAAAATTTTGAAAAATTTATATGCCCACAAGCTTATCTTTTAAAAAGATTGGTGAGCTAGCGCTGTAGCATAATAAAATACAGAAGATATCTGAACCATTTGTTAAATTTGCTGAATCGATTAATTATTAATAAGAAGGCACATTGGAGCACTGGGTGGGTGGGTGGGTCATAATTCAGAATGGTGAATCTAAGAGTGGCTTCACGTCGGCAATGGCATAACTCCTGACTGTGCTTTAAGCGTTCTGTATTCTACCGTAATTTCAATTTGGAGGTGAAAAAATGTCAGTAGAACCAACGAGCACCTAGTTTAAAATATCCCATTGTGGTACTGTTTTTTAGCAATCGCATCTTCTCGGAACTTTCCGGCAAGCTCGGTAAACATATCCGAGGTTGCGGCGGTTTTCCGAACTTGCCGGAAAATCAATGAAGGTAGATTAGAAAAGCTAGGTATTCATTACAATTTTAGAAATAACAGTCTTCGTTTTATAAGACCCGAGTAACTGTTACTTTTTGTTCATTTACGTGCAGGATAGACAACAAAACCCGAAACTTCAGATCATATGTATTTTCAGATGATAAAAACTAAACTGACATGTCTTTCCGACATAGTCTGAAAATTTTTTTCCGAGCTTGCCGAAATTATGCAGGAAGGTGGTATAACTGTGAGGAAAGCTAGATGTCTAGAATCTTGGCATTATATGACCTAAGTTTTTCTTGTACTTTTATGTGTAGGTTAGACAATAAATAAAAAAAAAATCAGAATCCGGATCTAGACTGGTATTGCCTGTCTCTAACGTAAGAAATGTATATCGCACATATCAGACAGGAAAGGCTAGTGTAAATTCTGATCATATCTATATTTGTATGACAAAACGAAATTGTTATCGCACAGTCTATCTACAGTAGTTTTCCCAGAATGCCCGACTGTGAAGTCGAGGATGCGTATTCCAGAAATATAGACTAACGTAGTTGCTAGCGCTCGAGAGCGCTAGCAATTACATGGCAATATAGAAAGTCTATAACGATATTGAAATCAAGTGGTCATCTACTAGTCGGGGCAACCATAACACTAAGTTTGATCTCTATCAGACCTCAATATCATTAGGGGTAATTTACTTCTTAGAGGGTATCAGTGTATAAAACATGATGTATATAATGCAAATTGTTTTCAAGATACTGTTTGAGCTCATAGTAACTTCTTATATCGTAGAGGCTATTGTATGACTTTTGATCTTTTATTTACCTTGTGACCTCGAAATCAGCAGGGGTCATCTACTTTATAGGGGAAACTAATGAACCAAATTTGATGTCTATCAAGCAAAGGGCTCTTAGAATACTGAGTGGTCAATGCCTTCCTATGTCTAGAGAAGTTTTACCTTGGCCTTCGACCTTGTGACCTATAAATCTTTAGTGATCAACTACCCCTTAAAGGGAACAAGTGTACTAAGTTTGATGTCTGTCAAACAAAAGACTCTCAAAATATTGAGTGGGTAATATTTTCCTTTGTTCTCTTTCATTCTAGTTCTTTGCCCTGGACCTCATAAACAAAGGAGGTCATCTTTTCCTTAAAGAAAACTACTGTACTAAATTGGATGTCTGTCAGGAAAAGGGTTTGCAAGATACTGACTGGTCAATATGTTCCTATGTTCAGCCCTAACTTTCACCTTGTGGCCTCATAGACAAAAGGGTCATCTACTCCTTAAAGAGGACTTGTGTACCAAATCGAATTCTGTCAAGCAAAAAAATTCTCAAATATTTTATAGACAACATATCTTCCTATGTTTTAGAGTACTTAGACTCTTAACCTTTGAACCCAAAATCTGCAGTGGCCATCTACTACGTATACTCAGAGGAAACCAGTGTACCTAGTTTGATGTCTGTCAATCAAATGGTTCTCAAGGTACTTTGAACCTACCGACATGTTCAAAGCAATATGTCCCCTTTCTCATGTGGGGAGGACATAAAAAATAATGGAATATTCATATATAATCATTAATTTGTTATGATGTGTCAGATCCAAATTTGAAAAAAAAAATAAAGGCGTATCATTTTATATGAAACAAAAGTTATCAATCTCTTCGAAATTATTTGCCATTCAATATAAAATAAATTTTATAATCATCAAAAGATAAGCAGTAGACACAAACAAGATAAACTTACCTTTCAAATTCCCTTTGCAGGCATCTTCATACAAGTTCGTGTACTCGTCCTGTGTAACGATGTCATCTGTGAGGGAGAAAATCATTAAAGAGTCGTTAAAGTTTTATTCAGTGACAAAAAAATTTCAATTTCTTTCCTGAAATGTGAATATGGTCATTATTTGTAACCTTGTAAAGTTGTTTTTTGCAGAAGTATGTGTAATTTTGTTCCTAAATGGTGGCTCCATCTTTGTCTGAAGGACAATGAATAAACAATTTACGATGTAAATAAAAGCAGTATAGAGATGCTGGTATGATATGAAATTAAATAAATTATTACAGTTCTGTTCTTCTTCAGAAGATTTTTAACTGTCTGTTCTTTATATTCCTAAATTAAAATCCATAAATTGTTAACTACTTCTTAATTAGTTCCCCTTGTTTCCTAGGGATGTGGCCCTTTATTTGACCCGATATTGAAGATAAGGTACAGAATTGATGCTTTTTTTGTCAATTGATTCCTATACTGGAAGAAGAATGAAAAAGCTGTAAAGTATGCCTTTGTAACCAGTAGTATATGTCATCCCGAACTGAACCCAACGCTGCAATTTTGGAATCGAAAAAAGAGTAATCATTCGTTTTTATGGATACAGTGACAAACTTTGCCTAACCAATTCCATATAACAATCCTATAAAGCTTCATAAAGATTAGTTGGGCAGTTACTGAGAAAAATGGAATTACAGAATTTTCACTTTTCGTCTGTTTCCATGAAATGTAATATATTGACTGCACAACTAGAGTTAGTGATTATCGTTTTTTCCTAGAGAAAATGTGTGGACAAAGCTATTTGTCGAGGAATAATTAACATTATCTACGTTCGAAGTGACATAATAAAAGAATATTTTGTTAATTGTAACCTTTGAAACAGAAATGATTTCGCTAAAATGTTAGACATACGTTTATTCGTAATCTGTTCGACAACAACGACAATAAATAAATAAAAGAAAAGAAAAGGGGAAAAAAATTAAAGAATGCGGATGAAATTTTAGGGATGACATAGTAATTGATGCTTGGTTATTTAATAGTAAACGTAGCATGCAATTTAATTAGATAAAGAAAACTTCTTGTTTATGTTCTCACCATTATTCTTGTCTAGGTTTTCAAATAGTTCCCCCAACTCCTCTCGCCCTGTGCTTTGAATCAGAATGGCCAATTCCTCCTTGGTAATATTATTGTCATCATTCAGATCAAGCATGTTTACTTTACAGATATCTATATCAGGAATTGCCTTTATAAAAAAAATATTGATAAACATAATTACATCCCTTGCATATACATCCCCCCCTTTTTTTAGCTCACCTGAGCCGAAGCTAAAGTGGGCCTTTCTGATTGAAATTTGTCCGTTGTCTGTACCTGACAGAGTATATCATTGGGTGAAGGGGATTAAAGTTTTATTCAAATGAAGGGCCCCAACGTCTTCCAATTGGAGAAAATAAAGAAATAGTAAAAATTGAGTTGGTTTATTTAAATATTTTTACTCAAAAACCAAGGGGACAGAAGAGTGGAAACTAATGTAACTTCTTTTTGACATTCTGTACATTCATGTATGTTCAAATAATTACCCCCGAGGTAGGGTGGAGCCACTGTGAGCGATCAAAGTTTAACATGGGAATATATATGGAAAATTCTTTAAAGATCTGTTTCTCAAGAACAGCAGGTTAAATTTGATTTGTCATATTACAACCTTTTTTTTTTATATGGAAGCATCCTCAGGTAGTATAGATTCAAGATTGTTCAAATCATGACCCACAAAGGGGAAGGTGGAGCCATAATGGGCGCTCAAAGTTTTCAGAAATACACAAAAGAACAATCTTTAATAATCCTCCTCCCAAGATTAGCAAAGCCATGGTTAGTCTTTTTATATGGAAACATCCTCAGGTAGTGTAGATTCAAATTTGTTCAAATCATGACCTCTGGGTGTAGGGCTGGTCCACAATATGTGATCTAAATTTTACGTGATATACATGGAATATAAATGTGTATGGAAAAATTCTTATGAAGAACAAAATGGCCATAGTGATTCAGGCGAGCGTTGTGGCCCATTGGCCTCTTGTATTTTTATGCCCTGCTCAAAATAACGATACTTGGGAAATTGAATTCCATGGGAATAAGGATCCACTTTTTTTTTTTTTTTTAATTTTCTACAGTAAAATTTAAATCAACAAATTTGGGGGAGTTTCCATAAGGCCACTTTTTTTCATGAAAATAAATCTCAGTTTATTTTTTTCAAAATTAGTTTAGAATTCAAGATAAATATGTTAACTTTTGTTATTTATATTTCAAAAGTTAATATGAGATGAGTTCACAACGTAGTTGACAAATACTTAAATGCAACCTCAGAGGCTTATGGAAAATATAAGAGGGTGGCATTTATAAAGCGATGTTTAAAATATGAAGTGTATAAAGGACACTCACCTAAATTTGCTCAGTAATTAGATATACTCTGCACACTAAAATCTTGAAATATGATGAGTGTCGCGTGTGCACTTCATATCCAAAAATTGAAAAAAGCATAAAATGTGCATATCTAAAATAAGAAGCTCAGGGTTTATCTGAATCTGTGTTAAAATACTTAGCCAAACGTGGCATATTTTTTATTAATTAAAGAAGATTCTCGAAAATATTAACAATATAAAACATTATCGTATCCTTTCTTCATTTCAATACTTTTTCGTCGCTAGCGTATAAGGTTAACGTCACATTTTTAGCTCACCTCCACGAAGTTGGGGGAGCTTTTGTTATACCGTCAGCATCAGTGTTCCGGGTAACATTTTAAAGCAGATTTTTTTTCAAATATATCTATGCCCTATATTAATCAGAGTCACCTGATCTAGTGTGTTTCCTTGTCACCAGTCAGGTTTCAGATTGAATTGAACATATTTTATTGTAATATATATACATTTTCAGCTAAAGAATGTCCAGGTAAATGTTTTATTTAAGAAGGTTCAAGTTTTTGGAGAAGAGCACTTGTTGACAAGACTTGCTGCGATCATGATGCATCTTGGGATGTACACTACCAGACTTGCTTCAGATGCTGGATCTGACCTACATTTTCTTAATGAGTGAGCAGGTTAAAGATTTGAAGCGGGTCTCATTTTTATGTAACTATAAGCCCTATCGTGACCAAACTTGCACTGATGATGCATCTAGGATTGCACACTACCAGACATGGTTCAGATGCTGGATCATCCTTATATTTTCCGACTAGATGAACAAAAAAAAAATGTTTTGGAGCAAATCCATTCCTTGAAGTTATTTATCTTAGATTTTCTTGTAAACAGTAATCCACGCTCCAACATGCTAGAGAAGCGCCCATATATTTCCGTGTGGTTGATATACTGTAGGGAACGTGGATTTTTTTAAGCCTGGATGTTGAAGCGCATATTTCTGCAGGATTAAGAAGACTAAACACATATCTTTGGTGTTTACACATGTATTTCGAACTACGGCTCTGGTCCAGCAAATCATATATAATGAATTCAAACACTCTCTACATGAGAAGTAACTAGACTAGGTGAAGCAACTTAAGTATCTATGGAGAGTTGGGAAGCGAGAGGAAATAAGTCCTGACTGGGATTCTCTCAGTTATGTTGAAAACATAACGCAGATACTTCTAACTCACATAATGAAAAGGAAACACTCAATGTATTTTAGGTTTTTCCATCATTTGGCTATTCACATAATTTTGTATCATGATAAAATACTTTGACTGTAATTAATATTGTTGATATTATCAAATACATTGCAATATACGGAAGCTGGAAGGTACTAGTAAAAAAATTTATTATCTTGCGGCCGCCAGATAAGTTTCTAGTGCCTGCCATTGAAATACCTTGCGAACTCCAGATAAAATTGTAGTGTGTTGGGTATAACAACATCTACCAGTTCAGTTTGTAGTCAAATCTGGGAGTTTCATGCCTTATTAGCAAAGATCAAATCTACACTATATGCAAAAGTTCACTTTTCATATGGTTATTTTTCCCTTACAATTTATGTTTTATTAGATTACATGTCTACACCGCAAGAATCTTATTTGGCGGCTTCTAGTTATTTATGTGGCGGCCGCCAGAAAATTATATATGGCGGCTGCAGGAAAACTATATGGCAGCCACTAGATATATTTTCCTAGCGGCCGCCAAATAATTATGTGGCGGCCACCACATAAAATATTTTTCTTACCTTGCACCTACCGACTTCTGTAGCAATATGTATGTATATATATATAAAGTTGCATTTATTTTTTTAATCGCACCAATCTTTCTTTTAATTTCAAAACATTTTTTACATTAAATTTGATGATATTAAGTAGTTGTATAACCTCATTGATGAGAATATATTGCAAATACCTGTATTATATAAACGTTTTGACGTTTACCTATCTCATGTCTGCATATTTATTCATTTACATTTTTCGTATGGGAAAATCTTATATATTGATTATAAAGTTGATGTATAAACTGTCGATTAATTATGATTGTTTAACTTTCGTTTACTTACGTTTTCGTCGTCATGTAAAGAAAAGTAACATTTAACACACCAGAAAATATCGCACATTAAAAGAACATTCGCATATTAAATAAATACCATCTTTTGAAAAAAAAAATGTCGAAATTGGTTAATTTATGTCTTTATTCATATTTATCCTATTTCATTTACGATTCTGACGGTTAAAAAAAAATCCATTTTCCCCCTTTAAAAATGTCTACTCCAAAAATATACGGAAGGGGTATGCTTAAATTTTCAATTATCACGTGACCGGAAAATGCGGAACATAAATTATTTTCATATTTTTAGGAAGGTAAGGAGTTTGCTACAAAATATCAAAATTTCATCATATTTCTTGAGGGGCCGAAAAACGGCCTTATCGAAACTCCCCCTTTAAGAAGTGTGTATTTCATTAAAATGTTTATTTAAGAAATAAACAACGTTATTCAGTGAACAGGGAATTATCATTAACCTTTATGAATAGCTCCGCTGCAATGCGCATCATTGAAATATGTCAGTAGGGCAATTGCACACACCATGTTCACTAAATAACTTTGTTGATGGTATGTTTACTCCTCCATTGCATCTAGATCCCCATTATGTTTTCAGAAGTCCGTGTTGGTTCCTATAATTTGTATTTTTTAAATGAACTTTTAAGAATGATCACTACTCGTAATCTTTATATTAGCGTTCACGGTAGCTTAGTCGGTAGAGCGCTCGCTCCGTGATCGGGAGGTCGTGAGTTCGAATCTCGGCCGCGACTGACCTAAGTCGATAGAAATGGGTAGCAACTATTCCTTCGCCAAGCGCTCGGCACTTTGAAGTGAAAGTTGCGGGTCCTTCATGAGACCTTAAAAACCGAGGCCCCGTGTCTCGGCAGGCGTTGGGACGATAAAGATCCCTCACTACTCAATGGCCCTGAGTGCCGAGTAAAGGTCAAAATTTGAAGCCCTTCACCGGTATATGGTGACGTCTCTACACTAGACAAAATTGCTAACGCACCACTTATTATTCTTATTTGTTAATTGGTCATTTTTCTGATTGGTACTAGTATATAAAATATGCCATCTTTTCCAAAACAGTTGGATTGACAAATGTCTTGGTGTCATGTCAAGACTTTTAAAGGACCTTTTTGTCCGAAATCCAATGTCCCGACGTGCACTGCGCACCGTTTTTGCCAAGATATGAAGTTGGTGATTACCGAAGGTGGTCCGTGAGGTTGCGACGGGAGCAGTCTCCTACTTAAAAATCAAATGATATACCCTGATTGACTACCATACTGCTTAATAGTCACCCAGTGCCTTGGTGTCCCTACCAAATCCACCCAACTTCCGGTTGCCCCCGTTTTGTGGAACAATCTTGAAGTTATTGTGTGGTGCTTACTTAATGCCGTTGATATCTATTGTAAACATTTTTATGATCGTTAATTCATTTTCAACAATTTTTCACCAGAGAAATGCATAATCTTTGAATTGTTTTAATTGTTCACAAATTTCTTCAAAGGAACCCCCTGTAGATACCATACTGGCTGCCTTAGCGGTCTCTTCTAGAGTCAAACGCTGCATACGGTGTAACTTTTTTTTCTGAGCTTTTAATTAGTGCAAACATAAAGAACACAACCACAAAGAAAAAATAAGAAATTTTTTCCACCAAAAAAGTATGAATATGATTTTAATTTTTTCTATGAAGTGGTTACGCTTCAGTAAACATTGCTGTTATATATCAGTTAAAACATTTAAATGTCTCATTTTTTATCAAAGAAACTAAATTATATATTAAAAACATCATAAACAAGTTTTGAAAAGAAAAATGTTAATTTATTTAGGTGGTGCGTTAGCAATTTTGTCTAGTGTATATGAGTGAAAAATTCTCGAATGGGACGTAAAACTACATACAATCAATCAATCAATCAATCAATTATATTTTATTTCTAAGATTTTCTCTCTTCTATGGAAAATTTTTCTAATTACTCTTAGGTTTCTTTTTCACTTTTATTATTAAGGTTCCTCCGTCTCAATGAAAAAAAAAGGTATATCGAAAATTTCAAAATTTTCAACATTTTTTTTCATCAATATTCCTTTACCTGTAAGTAATTTGTGAAAACGTATAGAACAGAAGTTGTGCAAAATTACAAGATCTATCATGTAATATCAAAAAGGGGGCTGGCCCCTTAAATAAGTGGTCAAGTGGGATCGAAAGCTTTCTGCAATATTTAAACAAGAAACCCATGGGCCACAACGCTCACCTGAGTAAATATGGTCCTTCTTGTTCTTCAAGCTGCACCAGATTCTTCTTCCCATACATTCATATGTAAAACTTTGCCGATTTTAGACCCATCCTACCCCTGGGGGACATGATTTAAAAAAAAAAACCCTGAATCTACACCATCTGAGGATGCTTCCATATAAATATGCCTATTCAAGGCTTTCCTGTTATTGAAAAGATTTTTATAGATTTTTCGTATGTATTCCTATTGCCCATTGTGGACCAACCCTTCAACCTACCCCTGAGGGTCTTGATTTGAACAAACTAGAATCTACGCTACCTGAGAATGCTTCCATGTGATGACTAACCATGACTTTGCTGTTTCTGGAAAAAGATTTTTAAAGATTTTTCATATGTGTTACTATGTAAAACTTCGATTGCCCATTGTGGACCCACCCTACACCCTACCCCCAGGGGTCATGATTTGAACAACTTGCATCTACACTACCTGAGGATTTTTTCTATTTAAATATGACTGATCAAGGCTCTCCTGTTCTTGAGAAGTAGATATAAAAAGTTTTTCCTGTATTTTCCCATGTAAAACTTTGTTTGCCTATAGTGGCCATATTGCCCCACTCTATCCCAGGGGGCACATGATTTGAACAAACTTGAAAATACACTACCCAAGGATGCGTCCAAAAAAAGAAAGACTGAAAGTGAAGTCTTTTTTGGAGGATATTTGGGTTTAACACGTATTTATAAAATAATTAAAAAAAATTAATCTGTAATTTCAATTTCATCATTTACTTAGAGTTGGGAATCACATTTTTATTTGATTGTCAGATTTTATATGATAAATGCTAATCTATCAGTCTTTAATTACTATTTATGTATGTTTATCCTTTGCTATAATGCTAGTAGCAAATAAATAGCTGGCCAACTTTAAAAAGTGTTTAAATTATGTGGATATTATTATGGTTAATGTTATGAAAAATGTCGAACATACGTTCTCTGCTGATCGCTTCGAAAACTCTTCTGCTGTTCCAACTAAATCAATAATTGTTGTTGCGAAATCAAGTGCTGTGAAAGAATTTTCTAAAACACTTGCTGCTCTTCTGAAATTAGCCGGGACCCGTCTGTTTCTTACATTACTGGCGATTCGGCGGTTTCCTCCATTTCCATCATTTCTGGCGTTTCGGCGGTTTCGGCCCAAACGCCTCCGAACCCTTGACTCCGTATGGTCAATTATTAGAAGACAAATCAGGAGAAGAACAGAGAAGTAACGGAACTTTTCCTAATTTAAAATGTGAAAGTACAAATTTGTTAAGAAAACAAAAACTATTTAACACCAAATATATGCGATGAAAAGAAAATTAAAAATGAAGCATTAAAATGACTGACAAAAAAGTTACTCATGAAGTCTTATTAGTATATTTTCGAAAAAGATGAACACAAAATTTTATCTAACTGGTGTTAAAAGCGGCAACATAAACAGTCTATATTATCAAAATTGTAGTACAATATGATTTAGAATTAAAGTTACATATATTTTCAAATCGGCTTATTATTATCAAACTGAACATAATAACGTGAAAACAAAGCAATTACCATGATCTTGATGATGCCTCTGACTTCTAAGATGTTAGAAGAGGAATGTTTTGGGGACTTTTTATGCTGATTGCATATTTCCTCATTATTATGACAATGACGTCACAAATCCAGCCCCTGATAATTATCTGCAAGTTCAAACCACGAGCTACTTATCTACTTACAAAATTACACTTTATTTATTTGTATTATTGCATAATTAACTTTTAGCGCTACTAAAAGAATATTTTCGGGGAAATGGGACTACTTGTGATACAAATCGCTGGAAAGCTGCTCTTTTAACGAGGTCAAACATTTGAGACATGCAAGAAGCATGTTGGTTAGAAGTACTTTTGTAGACTTTAGTATTATATGAATTTCAGATTTTGAAATTTTCCAGTATGAAAGAAGTTTACCTTCAGATAGGATTTGCCTATATCTTATTTGCTCTCATTTTGTTGAAATACATGTACATGTATAAAATCAATTTTGTTATATACTTGTAATATAAAATCAGCACGAGTCAGGTACTACAATGACGATTGCTTGAAAATTTTATTGTGTCGCCTGCAGAGCGACACTTACGTATCATTTTACCCGGCGTCTGTCTGTCTGTCCGCACGATTGTCTTTGCGACCGTCTGTCCGTTTGTGATACGTTATATCTCAAGAAATTTAAGAGGTATGTATTTGATATTTTGTTCATGTATTGCTTGTCACAATACACCTCTACCAATGTTATTGTGATTTAAATTCAAGACACGTGGTGTAGGTTGGCCCATTCAAAGGTTATAGGGTAGAACCGGTTTTATAAATAAACTTGGCAGCAAACAGAAAATTGCTATGGTCAGCTTCTTTTAAAAATATGTCCTATGGAAAACGTGTTTCCAGACCTTTCTGAAAGATTTTCAAGATTTTAGAAAGGAAAGGGGGAGGGGGAGTTAAAAATCACAATCTACTTCATCTTCGATTTTGTGAAAATTTACGGCGAAAATTAGAGCTCAGTAGGGACAATTTTTCCAAAATCGCGCAATATGCTGGTAGAAAAAATGTGTAATATCTTCTACAGTGACAAACCTTTGTTTACCTTATATGGCTATATTTATTAATGCGCACATCGGATTTTACCATGAACAATTGACCGATCGTTGAATGAAAAGCAACGTTTACTGGACAACCACATGTTTACATTTTACTTTAAACACGGGATCAGGTCAATCTACGATCGATTAAATGGACTGCAAAAACCAAATGAAAAAAAAAATATTGTTTTTTATGAAAAAAAAATACAAAGATCAGAAAGTAAGAAAGATGTCAAGTCGTTTGTAATTTGTTGTTACTTTACTAAAAATACACATAATAAAATGTAGTTTGTGCCACGTTCAGAACACCAGCGCTTCAAGGATAAGGAGAACGATCAGCATCTCTAAGACAAGTAAATAGACAACAAACTTTTTTTTTTTTTTTTTTTTTTTTTTTTTGGTTGTTTTTTTTTTACATATCAATACCCGTGATCACATATTCCTTTGGTCAGGGAATCCACTTGACAATTGTATTCACCGATAGTACAACAAAGGAAAACAGGTGCAAATCACTTAACAGTATGGCTTTGAGAACCCTAGAATTCCACGCTTATTTACCAAATCATTGAATGGTTTGTAATTGTAAGCATGGTAAAAATAGAATAAAAATGGACATATTGCATGGAAAAAATGTTCATTGTGCCTTTCCGATCGCCTGTAGATTTGGAATTTTCTAGCGTAAAATTCCAGTAGTAAACAATAATGCAATTCAACGCATTCAGCTAATTTGTCGGTTTAAGTCATGTTGGTACCTCATTTGCTAATCTTACGCCAAAATATAGTCCCAGTTCTCATGCGAGTGTGTCCCCTCCCAAAAAATTAATACATAACAGCAGAAACGAATCAATGTCATAAAGAATACTTAATGAAGATTGAATGAATTCACGAGAGATTGAAGTACATGTACATTTCTACTGATATTGTAGTGGTGAAAACTGGAAGGCAACATAACTTTTCTGTTTACCATTTCTCCACGTGCTAGTCATTTCCTAGACACATTTCCGTGAATAATTTACCTTATCTCTCTGTAGTCTCGCTAAATCTTACCAGAGCTACTGCGAACTCCTCGGGTATTATAGTTTGCAAAACTCCGAACACATTAGTAGGGATGCAATAGCTTATGGAGAAAACTACGGCTACCGACCTGGTGAACTTTGAATTCGACCTTTGACTAACTTTTCAAAATAGTTCATAATGCCAATATACACCAATTCATTTTTTGACATTTAAGAGGTAAGTCTGTGTTATTAAGCATAAGCACTGTTTGTCATAAGACATTTTGAAAAAAAAAAAAATATCTGCAGCGTTACAGTCCACTTGATCTTTGACACACCTCTCAAAAATACTACGAACGCTTTATTCAACATGTTTTATGAATATTGAGAGACAGGGCTTCGAAAAGTAGAATATATATTACAATTTTATGACCTCATGACACTTCGCACGTACTTTTAAATTCTATGATATACAGCTACCACACAAACTGAAATGTAAAACAATATGAAAATACACTGGGATCAGTATACCGAAATGCATCGTAGTTTTACACTGACATTGCAGTAAAGAAAGATTGATCTTTCCAGCTACTAATTTGAGGTAATGTTTTATTAAACTTATAGGAAAAAATAATTAGTAATTATATTAAATATTTTCAATTTCATTATTCATTTTAGATTTAAGGTTCGAGGAATCATATTTCTATTTGATTGATAAAAGCTTACTATCCGTGGACTTTTTTGCAGGCAAATGCATGAACTGTAATACTGGTACTGGTATGCAAATAAAAAGCTGTCCACTCTTAGATTGATTTATATAATTAATAATGCTATAGCAGGCGACACATGCTTTACCTGCTATACTCTACAAGTAGTTATTTTTACAAATCCTTAAATATACATTTAAGCTGAAGCTTTTTTTTAAAACAAAAAGTTAAATACCATTGAAATATGGAAATGACGAACAGAACAGTAGTCAAGCTAAAATGTCAACTAAAACAATACAAATCGGGAGCAGAGAAAACACGGACCTCTAAAACATCAGAGGTGGGATCAGGTGACATGGAGGAGTAAGCATCCCCTGTCGACCGGCCACACCCGCCCTGTACTCCTTGTCATGATGGGGTAAACGGAAAAATCCTTAGATAATTCAGTGTAAATGATAGCCTAACAGTTAATATGAAAACCTTCAGTCAGCATTTTACTAAATGTAGATTGTATTTGCTGACAAGGTCTTTATATCGACCACAGAACTTGCGAAATGCCGACCTCGATTGAGACTGCGACATCCCTGTTTCATTAACTTGTCTGTCAATTGATTGTTTCATTTCAGAAAATGTTCGTTTGCATATCGAATCAGCTAGGAGACATAAATTCCACTTCCAGGTGATAAGGGTCCAGTATCGCCACACAAACAAGGGAAGTCGACGACAGAAAAGCCGAAGCCAGCACGCCTACCAAAATGTCCTGCTGTCAGGTTACCATTAACGCCCCTCTCCAGTAAAATATTCAAATATGAAACAGATGTGTCAGACACTGTGGTATCCTCCATTTCAAGTTCACTGGGATATATCGAGTCGACATTTGAATGGAAGTAACTATTGGTAATTGACAATAAGTCGTCGATATATCTAAATGTCGAGTTGAAGGCCAACGCAAGTGATTACTTCTTCTCATGTCTGCTAATCTCTGGATGCAGTTGTTACCAATGGAATTCCGACAGATTGTTGGAAGAGCTACATAGATATTGTCAATCAGAAATTAATATCTTTTTAATATCAACTTCGGAGTATATCTGTGTACAATAAGATTGTTTTTAACAAAATCATTTTGCAAATGACCATTGGCAAGGTACGTAAAGAGGATGGGCGTGTTTGGCGTGTGATCTGCAGGAATCATGTGTACGAAACATTTATAGCTTAAATGTCCACGATTTGGTTGGCTGATCACAGCTTACAAAACTATGCACATAGGAAAATGTTATATTTAGTTAAATAACATGTCAGATTGTAATATTTAGGTCAGCTTATCTTAATAATCAAACTTTAACATCGTAATGCTTTACATAGATAATGAACACCTACAAGATGGTAAGGGTATAGTTAAATGCAAGTACAAGTGCATGTACATGTGTATATTAAAGTGTTAGTAGGTTGGAAGAATTGTTTTCGCTCTCGATGCAACAGAACTAGAATTTATCCATTTTAAAATAAATCAGTACAAAAAAATTAAACTGACAAAAGAATTGATTGCTTGCATTAAAAAGATATTAACGCTCCATGCGAGGATCGAACCACATTTTTTTTGATTCCATTGCACTGGACGGTTAACGCATATCACTGAGCTATCATCGCTACACATATAACTTGGCTTTTAAAACGACAATGAAGCACCGCATTTACACATTGGATTTTTTTTTTGGAAAAAAGTTCATTTGTTATGGCCTCTTGGTCTTCTCTCCATTTTTTTTTTTTTTTTTTACAAATGATTGTTTGTTTCTTTGAATTAGAATGCATACAAATAACGTTTGAAAATCATGGAGAGATGGCCCAAATTTTTAGAAAAAATGTGTTTAAAAAATGTGACATTTTGTACCAAATTAATCATCTAGCATATTTTCCAGTTATTTTGTAGCAAATCAAAATACAATTTTGGGAAAATATTTCCCTTTCCTGTTTCACAGAAACCAAAATGATAAAAAATGCTAAAATTTCCTGTGATAGATCAATGAAATTTATACTTTTCAATTTGCGCCTAGATTCCTGCTGAATGCCAATCAAAAGCACCCTTGTTCTTTACGAGGTCCATTTATATTGAAAAAGCATCCGTCTGTGATGCCAAAAAGCCTAGTTTATAATTCATCGTAGGGAATTGTTGTATAAAGTGTTTAAAAGTCGTACGTTTTGATGTTATTGATTTGGTAAAATTTTATGATTTCAAATTTTCGAAAAGTTCATTGCAGTTTTTAAGCATCCACATCTGATTTACACAACTTCTCGAATTGTTGAACAGTACTTCTGAAGTTTCTCCTTCACTGCTTTTTTAAAATTTTTTTTAGTGAGGAGTAGAAAAGAAGTTTGGTAGAACACTGAAACCCGCCACGTATCTTTGTTTGTATGGATTTTTATGTAGTTTAGGAATCCAGTATAAGTATGGCAATTCTAATTCAACTATTGGGGATATTAAAAATATTTAAAACGGACATATAACTTTGAAGAACTTTTTCCTTTGAAAGAGATCTATGGGTTTAAGATGGATTATCACTCGCAGATTTAAATCCAAGCTCCTCTAAAACCATGGCCGTAGGAACAGGGGGGGGGGCACGGGGTGGGGCCGTGCCCCCCAATAATTTTGCCGATATATAGATGACTATAGAAAATCTAGCTACTTCTAGCTTGTGCCCCCTCAATTAAAACGTCTGATGACCTTTTTTTTTTTTTTGCTTGTCTCAAGGAATTTTTGGTAGTTGATAGTGCCCCCAACTGAAAATGTATGGCTGTGCCCCCCCCCCCCCCCCCCAAAACTGAAATTGCTTCCTACGGGCCTGAAAACACAATGAAAATAAATACCGAGTGAAATATTTTTTACTTAATATATTAACATGACTAAGGAGATCATTGTATTAAACTGCTTCTGTAGCCTGGCTGAATTTAGTGTGACCTTTGATCATTTTTAAAACGAGCCCTATAAACAAACACAATGTTATTACCTGCTTTGTCAGCTGGGAATAGTATACATTGATTATGTAATATTTCTAAATTTTTTTCACTTCTGAATCATTGAAGTTAGAAGGATAGATGGTTTTCATATTGCCTCTCAATCGCTTAATACGAGATTTAGATATCCATCTGATACTTTTAATCCATTCCGACAAAGAGTCAAGGTCTTTTTTTCATGTTTGGCTCATCGCCTGGCGTAATCTTCCACAGAACTCATAATATTTATAAAATTATGACGCTAGTTAAAAGATCGGGGGTCCCTAAAAGTGTGAACTTCAACTTGAATTATGGTGGAATACAAGACGGGACCCATTTGTGATTAAGAATAATTACTTACAGTCCCCTCCTCTGTAAAAAGATGAAGGTCTAAATATGGGATCCAGGATGTTGGCAAGCCCCTCGAAGTATGTACCCTTATAACAGTATTTTAGGCGTTTTCCTCGATTTAGACCGGGCTAGCTAAATAGGTTCCCGGTCTTGTAAACTCAATTCCTTTTGACAGTCAAACGGACCCTCCCAGCCCCTTCCCCTATCCAAAGATGATGGTCTTAATATGGGATTCAGGATGTAAGCCAGCCCATGGAACTATGTACTATTATAACAGTATTATAATCGTTTTTCCCAATTCTGACCGGGCTAATTAAATAGGTTCCCGGTCTTGTAAACTCAATTCCTTTTGACAGTCAAACGGACCCTCCCAGTCCCTTCCCCTGTCAAAAGAAGGTTTAAATATGTTATCCAGGGTGTTAGCTTGGCCCTGGCACTATTTTTAACCTTTAAATGGTATTATAACCATTGTCATCATTTTGATCTGACTAGTTACATTGGTTAGGGGTCCTCTCTCTTTATTTTCAGTGATATCTTTGCTTCGCTTCTTTAACATGTATTATAATGAGTCATTCAAGTTTTTAAAAAAAAAATTATTAGGAAACTTACAGTAATTTGAATAGGGAACCGGCCTCAGAATGCGGTTCGCCATTCGAATAGTGAATAGGGAAAAACCTTCTAACTTCTGATTGCTCAAAACAGTATACATTTTGGTGTTCTTAGTGTATTGAAAGTGCATGTATTTCCTTTTGTGTTGTCTATCGCGCCGTGACAATGTTTCGTGTGTGTCTATAGGGGTTGAATGTTGTAGATTTCCAGCGGATTTCATAAAGAAAATTACATTGAATGTAAATATTACGATATAGATTAATTTTTTATTTAATCAAATGGCGCGTTACAACCAAAATTATAATTCATATGACAGTAACATGAAAAATTTAATGTAAAGAATTTACAGGCAAATTTTTATATGTGTAAATTGAAAAAAAAGGAATCATTAAAAAATGCATTATGATTCTTCCATTACCAACTGATAATCTGTATACGTTTGTCATAATGCAAATGATGTACATGTATAATGACATAAATTCCTTAGATATAATTAAATAGATTTGTTATGTCATTCTGAGTATTTGCATGTGCTTGTCGAGCACCTAAATTCCTCATGGTATATTTATGCTTTACGGAATATGACCTCTCACACTCAAGATTAATTTCAAATTCATTATTGTATAAACTGTTGGTACATTGATTGTTTTTGAAAAAAATATTCCCAGTCATGCTCGAAGTCATGGTGAAGTGTGCCCTCAATAAAATTAATGAATTATAAAGACAAGACCTTATGTTAAAAATATTTGTTCAGCGAGATCAGAAAAGTCGTAATATAGTAAGCGTAAAAGAGATTTTAATTATGATGATATCATTACTGTTACAATAAATTCATATTAACTTTAATTTACTTTCCATACTGCTATAATAGATCACAGGCCGGAGAAGTCCACATGCAGTTGGAATTAACTCTCCCACAGGAATTAATGTCATGGAAGCAATTGAAATTTGATCTGATGACGCACTCATTTCCTCTCACAGCTTGGCAATTTCTTACGCCGAATGTGCAATCCAAAATCTATTGACGAACGATAAATCCTGATTAATTTTTTTTTTTATTAAAAAATGGTAACTTTTACATTTGTATAGTATTTAAGAGTAAAGATTGTGTTACCTTGCAGGTACAACTATTTTTATAAATGTCGAGATCCAGTGCTCTTCTTTGGTATTGCGTTAGTAAAGAAGTTTCAGTATTCCAGGCGCATAAATTGGTTTCCCATACCCCCTGAGTGTTGACACCTGAAAAAATGAGTATCAGGTAACAATATGGAAAAGAAGAAGTATTTGTGCCGAACTCCAAGGAACGCATGTGCATCTGCACGTGTTGCCTGCTCTTGCATCAAAGATAAATAGCACTTAAGCATGATCAACTATTTATTCACATTATAAAAAACTAATATATGATTCTGTCTTTGAAAGCTTAAGTGAATAATCGAATTGAAATTAGTAGAAACTAGAGGTACTGTGAGCATCGTACAATGATACCCCACTCCCATATGAGTATAATGGCATTTTTTTGTTATGGGAAACCCGAAAAATCAGTCTGATCAGAACATAATAAACGAGGCGAACTATTGGACTATGTAATAAAGATTCTATGAAAGTCTTACCAGATTGTATTTGATATAGTAAGAGTAACAGCTAAAAGAGATGGATACCCCAATAATATAGAAAGAATGGTTGTGTCCGTGTTTTGCTATAGGAAACTGCAAAAAATTGTCCGATCGACATATAAATTATTAGGTGCACAATGGCATTATGTAATAAAGATTCTGTGAAAGTCTCATTAAATTCTAATCAGTGGTAAAGGAGGAGTTGTAAATTAGAGATGGATACCCCCAAGTGTTACGGACGTACGGAGAGAAGGACGGACACCCCCACCCTTACATGTATAGGCCCCCACTTTTCCACCTTAAGGTATAATTATAATGAATTATCAATTTATTCGTGTTCTGTTCAATTAAAAAAAAAATGCCTAGGATTTGTAATTTGAAAGAGATTATAGTCTGACCTTCCTTATATTGGATTTTACTTGATGTATTCTGATTTGATATACTCATCTCGATTTATTTTCATAAAACTATAACCAAATGCATTTAAATTCTGTTTTGTGTGGTAAATGTATATCATTCTGTTTGCAAGTGCAGTGTCATTAACTTAAGGTAACAAAATGTAATTACATTTTATTACTATTACCTTAATGACACTGTGAGGTAGATATTTCATAATTAGCATATGCTAGTTATCAAATATCTACCTCTCATTTAAAGCTGAACACAACTCGTAAATAGACAAACGTCTTATTAGTTTTCCTATCTCCTGATCTCCGATATGAGCACAGGAGTATATCCTTCGTTACAGCTGACTGCTTTCTTGTCACGGGCATCTGCGTGGAATGAACGACACTTCTCTTGTTGGTAATTTTACAGTTTATTGCAGTTTACGTGTTCGTCTGTTTGTACTGCACTGACCTGTGCAACTGATGTCATTTTCTTTGGTAACTTTCTCCTGTTGTGGAAGAAACATAGCACACAGTTACTTTTGTCAATACAGAGAGTTTTACAATGGCTATATAGAATACATCCGTCCACACCGGTGAGAACTGATTACACTGAACGGCTTATATAGGGGCCGTACAGGTATCGGGAAATGCAGGGTAATATGGCACACAAACATAGCTTTCTGCTTTTTACGAATCGTGTTCAGCTTTAAGACATAATTTAACAGTTCTGAGTAATCTTGAATTAGTAGGTAAAGGTCAAGGTAAGATGGATCGTTTGTGTGGTATTTTTCAAAATATTCTACAACAAAGAGTGCACATGCTAATAGTGCAGACTTGTCTCTTAAAATTCAAAGAATAAAATACTGTAATCGGATGCATGGACTAGTTTGAAAATACGTCAAGGTCAAGTTCAAAAGCTACTTTGTCGGTAACATTGGTATTTTACAAACACAATTGTACCAAGAGCAATACCTGAGCTAAATATCATATCCTCACCTCTTACAGTTTTCAAGATATAATGTGTTATAGACAAACGGACTAACAGCTAGGCTAGGCAGAGACAGACAGAAAGACGTATGGTAAAGTGATCCTCAAGTGTCGTTCTGATCTGCAGGCGACACAAGAAGAAAATTTATCCTGTGTATGCCATTTTGCATAAAACGTATCTCCAATATTTTTCTTAATATTATGTTTGTTTGTTTGTTGTTAAAAGATATTGATTTGTTCTATAACCTCATTTATACGTAATAATGATAGATTTGAAAGCAGATACTTCTCTCTCTCTCTCTCTCTCTCTCTCTATCACTTAATTTCAGAAACACCGATGTCTAAATAATACCTGAAATGATGTATTCTTTATTTAATTCAAAGTATGAGCCACAGGCAGCGGAGGATGAGCTGGTTTTAATGGTTCGGATTATCGCCTGCTGTCTATAACGTCTGCTGTCACTCTGTCATGTAAAGTGTAAAACGGAGAGTCATGGAATCTAATGTGAAAAATGAGCAACTACATCAAAGCTCGATCGTCATTTACTTTTATAATCAAGAACATATTGTTTGTGGATTTCGATTTGTGATGACAATAAAAAAATTTTTAAAAAAAAAAGTGGTTATCAAAAGAGTATTAAATGCCAAAATCTACAAGATTATTACATGTAGACAATTATGAATAACTTTATCATGTATATGATAGAAATAAAACCTTGAAGTCTTGGAGTATTATAACACTGTATACAATATCCAATCCCTTGTTTACGGTCCTTCGACTAATGATCTTTGCCTGGACAACTGACATCAAAACATTCGGTTATTAAGTCAAAATTGTAAATGGAAATTATTTAGCACAAGAACATTAAGGATAATAAAAAAAGGCAGATATATATAATTTTTAAAGGTTGGTTATTTGATGTAACAATCTTGAATTTGATTTTGAAATTTGAAAGGAAACCGCGATTTTTATAAAGTCAGTTTAAGATTTTGTATAAACAATAACTTACCAAAATGTGAGTTGCAAAAATGTTCCTGAGGATGTTGGGGAAGACACTTACAAGCTTCCGAATCAGCAAAGAAAGCAAGAAACACTACATAGATAATCAAAGTTCTCATTGTAGGGCCTGACAAATAACGATAGGTAACCTCCATATGCTTACAATTTATTATGCACTTTAAACAGGATTTTACAAAAAAATCTTTATTCTTTATTGACGTTTAATAACAAGCTGTTAAGAATCTGCACTCTGTCGCCAGAAGGATGTAAAAAGTGCAAATCGTGTTAAAAAGACGACTGTAAATCTTCATTTAAAATTCACCACAACTGTTTTTTTAACAATTAAATACACAACCAATGCCTGTTTTATCATAATTTATGCATGTTTGTTCCACAAGTGCATCAATACAAAATGAGTGATTGATTGTATGTAGATTTACGTCCCATTAGAGAATTTTTTACTCATATAGAGATGTCACCATATACCGGTAATGGGCTTCAAATTAAGACCTTTACTCGGCACTTAGGGCCATTGAGCAGTGAGGGATCTTTATCGTGCCAACGCCTGCCGTGACACGGAGCCTCGGTTTTTTCGAAGGACCCGCAGCAGTCACTTCAAAGTGCCGAGCGCCTGGCGAAGGAACAGTTGCTACCTATGTTTTATTGACTTAGGTCAGTCGCGGCCGAGATTCGAACTCACGGCCTTCAGATCACGGAGGGAGTGCTCTACCGACTGAGCTACCGTGACGGCTCAATACAAAATGATATTTACGTACAAAACATATGTATAAAATGAATTTGTAATTTAAAAGTAAGTACAGGGATACTTAATTCTTTAATCAAAGATTAGATTATATCGTATTTCCTCAAATAAATCTTATCTTTCATACAAGAACTGGCAAAGTAGCAAGAAATGATCAATTAATGAAATTATACCATTCTTCTTTTTCAGGAGTTGTTCTAGTATTTGTTGTATGTGTGTGTGTGTGGGGGGGGGGGGGTGGGGGTGGGGGGGGGGGAGGTGGGAGTGGGGGTAAGACTTGAAAGAATAAAGTGTAAAGGATGCACTAGAATAACCTCTACACGTTGATAGGACAATTTCTCTCCTTTCTGCGGAATTTTAGCCTGTGAGATTTCGTGAGTGAAAAAGGTGTTTTAAACACATGTATTTGGAAGCGCAGAGGAAGCGCCCCCAAAATCGATTTTTTTCCTTTGCGATTTTAAGGAAGGTACTTACTCGCAAAATTATACCTTTTTAAAAAACCTATCTGCCTTTCTGCGGATTTTTAGTCCGTGATTTCATATGCAGAAAAAAAATTGGTTCTTACTTTCTCCATAAATTTTTTTTTTATTTTTATGTCTTGGAGGAAACACCGAAAATCTGTTTTTTTTTATTTTCGATTTTCAGGCAGAAACTCACTAGCAGAATGATGCGGTTTTTTTTTAAAAAAATTCCGCACTGATTTACTAGTACCTCTAAAGCACACACACAGTAGCTTAGGTCTTCAATATTTTTAAAAATTTAGATAAGTGTGTCAAACATCATACAAATGCAAACGTTTAATGAGTAGAAAATTTAAGATAATAAAAAAAGACAGCCTTTATTATAGTATTATAGTAAGTATAATTGTAAGATAAGTATATATAGATCACGTTTCGGGTACAAGGTAGTTAATGTTAAAATTATCAATTTTTTAGACAACTTTTACTTAATCTACATAAAGGGCTCACATCGAATGAGATAAGTCAACAGATGTTTTTTTTACTCCTCTAAAATGCACCTGATCCTATTTTTGGATTTCCCGGCCAAAGGGTCTTGTCTTCCTGTTCTGAATATGTATATAATGTGGTTCAACTGCATTCTTTAGGGTGATCGCTGTTCTTATATACAAATAATGTCGCCTCTGATAAGAAGGTGAAAATATTCGATTGTTTATCAACGCCGGACAACAAAAGACGGAAATAAATAGATTCAACTAGATGACACAACGATCTTCCAGATTTTTTACTCATTTATAAAAGATCATTTTATTTAAATTATCAAATTTTATGAATGAAACATTTTTTTTCTAATGTCGAATGTTCGTAATGTTGGCAGTGTTAAAGTACATACTCCTTCTCACAGTGATCATTCTGATGATTCAATTTTTGTCCGATCATGGACCTTTGCTTCGAAATAAAGGCAGAAGCTGGTTAAAAATGTAAGACTTTAAGTTCAAGGTGACACAGACTAGCAATATGGCCCAAGTGCCTCTGGTGGTTGAAGGTATCTTTTAATTACCATTTGGTCATACATAATAAAAGAAACGTAAAGATAGAAATGGTCCCCAAAAAAAACATAACAATTCTGTCCAATTGTTTTATAACTACTGAACAACATCCATTTCTGCATTTATGTAAAATAAAATTAAGTATTAATTCAAGAAATATAGTTAATGTACAAAGTAATACACAATGTTTAAAAACTGTCAGATTGATTCTCCGATTTTTCATTACTACTCTACTGTATATTTTTTAGACAATCACAGTCAATAGCTAAATGAAAGTCCCTGTGCTTTTCTCAGAAACATAGATGTATACATTGTCTCTTTTCTTTATCTCTTTGTTGTTTTCTTTCTACTTCTTATACCGTCTGTTTCCGGAGCATGCAGTGGAAATCCACCTGCAACTAGAACCGACTCTTCCACAAGTGTTACTGTCGTACAAACAACTGCCATTGCTGTCAGAACTGATGACGCATTCATTTCTTGTCGCGACTGAGGGACAGTCTGTTCCAGGAAATGTACAGTCTATAACCTATTAAACATACAGTAAAATTGTCTATATATAACACATTGTCCTACAAAAAAGTAAAGGAAAAAAAAAGGGAACTTGTAAAAAAAAATTTGTAAGAACTCTCTGTTCTGGTATTGTAAGGATAATAAACTGGATAACTGAATTATATTACAAAAAAAGATTGAAATTTACTACATCTTGACGGTAATAAACTATATTACTGGGCTATTGGAATAAGAATTGCAGCCCATTGCAGTCACAGTTATTCTTGTAAATGCCTAGATATAGAGCTGTCCTTATGTATGGTGTAAGGTATTTCACTTGTGGAGAAAAGTTGCATAAACTTGTAGTCCATTTACCGCTGTTTAAGAAATTGAAATTTCAGAGTCAGTTTTGATAAATTCATCATTGTACAGCATTATTTTCGTTGAAAGCCATAAATGAAAATACAAGTTTGAAGAAAAGCATTCCAGGGAATTAGTTTCATGGCATGTATAGGGGAATGTAAAGATGATAATTTCTCTTATGTTTACAAGATGTGCGGTTTCTGATTAACATAAGCGTTATAAACCTGTAATGATGTAGTCATGATTCAGTTCAAAAACTCTTCCACAACTTGCTCCTGATCCGCTGGTGTATATCTCTTGTGTTCCATGATTGGGTCGGGAACTGCTCTGAAATGAAATACTATTTCTACATATATATACATTTACAAAAACTATTAACGAAATAATAGTGATTTGGTATTTGTCGCGAAGTCATAGAATATTATTTTTTCTTCAAAAATTTATATAACAGATTGTGCACACTTTATTGATGCTTAAGCAGAAATTTAGCACAGTTTTCTGTTCAAGTCATTCTTATTCTTGCATTCTCTCCAAAATCCACACTTTTATGTATACATTAAAATTCAGAGCAAAAACATGAAAAAAAAGAATCTCTCAACAAATTCCATATAAATATTTTGGATATTGATTATTTCATTATTTATGATTGGTTTACATTGTTGTGTGATCAATTGAAATGAAATCCAGTGGATTCACAGAAAAAGTTCTACTTCATCTGATCGACGCTTCAAGCAATTTTGTATCTATTCTTATACATAGAATAAGTTTGTATTTAGAGGTAAACTTTCATGATAAATATGTGATATAAAAATTATTTAATAAAGTCTTCGATAATTGTTTTAAGGAATTTTATTCATTATTATTTTCGAGTATACTATGTGCTTCATGTTAAATAAAAAAAAAAACATCAAAAATGAGAAATTATAGTTATGAAGACATTTATTTTTAATTGTACCTTAAAGTCCCATAGTATTTTAACCGTGTATACCACCTCCATGTCGCTCCTGAAATCTCTTTTAAGAATTGTAGCCCGCACAACTAAAAAAAAGAATCATTATTTAAATGATCACACAAATGAAAATAATTTATTATTTTCATACTATATATGTAACTTTCCATTGTTTAGAAGTGTATTTGTATGATTGTTCTTCATACGTACTGCGGTAATATGTTGATAAGCTTTTCTATGAAAGAAAAATACCAACAGTAATAATATACAATTAAATTCAAGTATTATAACAGTGACTGAAATTTTAACGAAGAATAAGTTATGTTAAAAATTTAAAGTATAGAATTAAAAAGGAACATTTTGAAAGACCTGTATTCTATTCATTTTTTAAAACCATGAGAAATGTTGTTAAGAGGTCATGAATAAATCAATAAATATTTGAAATTAAGTGGACTGAAAATTACAGTTTCCTAATACTGTATTATGACATATTGAATCGAAAATTGTTGATAATTACCGAATATTCAAACTGAAACAGAAGATCATTTTTTTCCTATTTTTAAATATAAATGTTAAAAAATATTATAAAATAAATGGAATAGTTATTATTGGAGCAATAAATAAATGAATAAATACCCCCCCCCCCCCCCCCCAAAAAAAAAAAAAAAAAAAAACAACTCAAAAACATGTACCAAGAATCACATAATTCAGATAACCATGCATAATAAAACATAACTTATATACTTAAGTTCTAAACCTTATTATTCAACAGCTGTAGGGTATTTCATATTTTGAATAAGATTATTGAGGAGAAAATGTGCTCTTCAAATTCGATCAAAAGAAATTTTAAAAGTTGCAATCATGCTCAAAGAAAGTTTGAAGAAGTATTTTTACTTAATAAATAGCTCCCGACAATTATATGCGTTTTCATTCAGGTGATGTTTTTTAAACCTGTACAATTTTTAGCTATGATATTTTAAAGAAAGCTGAGCAGTACCGTATATTAATGCTTTAGTGTTGCCTGCACAACAACAACAACAATGATAATAATAATAATGATAATAATAATAATAATGAAAACTTACCAAAATCAGAAGAACAAAAATGCTCCTGGGGGTGGAAGGGTATACATGTGCATGTTTCAGAAGAAGTTATGTAAACGGCGAAAGATACTACAAAGAAAACAAATTTCTCATCTTTGTTTCTACAGTTGAAGGCGATACATGAAACAATTTCTTCTCAAATGCTCACACATTTATATTTTTTAAGCGGATATCTCATGTTCAGAACATGTTGTTAACGTGTTCATTTTGCACTGTGGTAGAGGCATGTGAAACCAGTAATTATGGGGAAAATTAAGTATAATTGGTAAAAGAAAACATCAAAAGGCTCTCAACATGTAATAGAAAATGTTAAGATCTTATTAAAGTAAAACCACAACCAAAATTGTATTATTCTAAAAATTGAAATTTAATGTTAATTACATGTATTGGTACCAAACAGTGACCTTCAAGGTGCCTCTTATTCGAATAAGAGACATGTAACTTAACACTTTAACGTCAATGACAAATGGCCATATTCAAAGCATGTCAGCATTTTTTAGGGAGGTTAACAACTATTGTATGCAGGGTTCAAACAATTTTTCTTCTGTGTTAAATTGAGAATTAGAGTAAAGAACCAATCTTTCCTAGAAAACTTTCCTAAAAAGTGAACATTTAAAACAAGAGTAGTAATAAAAGATTTAGAAAGGTACGTTTACATGCAATTTCTGGGCCATTAGTTATACATAATTGTATCTTTGTTCTAAGGGTATTAATTCAAATAAAGATTAAAAGTCTTTTCAATCTAAGATTATGTTCTATTTTATAGCTAGTAAATCAATAAAAAAAAAAAAATGTACAGTATGTTATGAGATTTTTCAAAGCTAACCCATGTCTTTTATCTCAATATATAGAACTCATAAATTTAATAGTCGAAGATAGAAAAAAAAAATCAAGGAGGAATCTGAAAATGAGTAATGTAGAGATAAAGCACGGTTAATTATAGACATAGATTTAAAAAAAAAAAAAGCAATACATTCTTAAAGTTCGTGAGAAAAGAATCAAATTGATTTATCCTTAAAAATATCTCATAATTGTTGCAACGCGAAATGTAATAACAACGCAAAATGTAATAAACCGGGATTATTGCATTTTGCGTTATTACATTTTGCGTCGATATCAACGCAGAATGTAATAACGCAAAATGTAACAACACACTTTTAAGAATTTTTACATTTTGCGTTATTACATTTTGCGTTAAGATCAACGCAAAATGTAATAACGCAAAATGTAATAACACGATTTTTGGATTATTACATTTTGCGTTGTTACATTTTGCGTCGAGATTAAGCAAAATACAACAACGGAATTACACATTTTTGGTCAGTCAGATTGAGAATAATTTTCAGTTGAGTTGTGGATGAAGAAAAAAACGGAAGGAAAATAAAACAAAAAAAAATCATGCTTATTCTTACAATAGATCTGATTTCATCATATTTTGATATCATTAGCCATTTAAAATCAGTTGATATTCAAATCATAGATGTTACAAATTAGAAACGTGCGTGTACACGTGTGTGTGTGTGTGGGGGGGGGGGGGGATTTCGTTGATCAGTGTATCGGTTTGCTTTTGCTTTTTCATAAGCACATGTACGAAATTTTGACAAGAATTCTATTTATTTTTACTGGCAAGTGTAAATATAGCGGGAAGGTGGTTTCTTGACAATTAAGATAGCACGCTGCTTTACAAATCATGTGCATTGCAGACCAGCAAAAATAAAATTCTCTCTCTCTCTCTCTCTCCAATAATAAAGTGGATTGGTTCTGCATGCGCATAAAAATACAATGATTAACATACGAAGTAACCCCTACCCCCCGCTTCTCCTCACCAGACACACACACAGACATGCACTTTTAATTTGCTAACCAATGTACACATGCACGTTGTACATGCATATCAAAAGCTTTTAATGGACCCATGAACAATCTTTGGTAATCAAGAATGTCAGTGATGGATATATAGTACAGACTGATTTATAAACAGACATGTCAATCAAAGTTAAGTTAACGTTTTATAAGTATTCAATAAAAATGTTAGAAACAGAGTTTAAAAATATACAATTAGATTTAGTAATGTTCGTTAAAGACGTAACGTTTGTTTAATAATCTAAGGTCTCTCTGTTTAGTAAATCGAGTTTTCTCATTGTTATATGTTTAAATCAATTTTGCGATGTTTCGCGTGGAAAACAATACAAAAAAATAATTATATTTGTTTTATTACATTTTGTTTTATTACATTTTGCGTTTTCTTCAATGCAAAAAATAAGTAACACAGAATGTAACAACCAAAAAGTGCATTATAACATTTTGTGTTAATCCCAACGCAAAATGTAATAATCCAAAAATCGTGTTATTACATTTGCGTTATTACATTTTGCGTTGATCTCGACGCAAAATGTAATAAAGCAAAATGTAAAAAATCCCGGTTTATTACATTTTGCGTTGTTATTACATTTCGCGTTGTAACACATAATGTATTTCAAATAGCCAAACACCAACATATTCGTTCAGAAATGACAATGTGAAGACAACGGACAGCGATCGATCTAAAAAAAAAAAATCTACAAACAATACAAATTTGTAAATAGGGCATAGAACACGGATCTCCGGAAATTCCAGAGGTAGGATCAGGTGGTCAGATTTGACCTTAACCCATTTCAAAGAACAATGGTCAAAATTATAAATCACACTCTGATCACAATCAATTATTCTCTAACTTATAATATTATTTCTCAATTAAAAATTATGAATCATACAAAAAATACTATTCAGATTAAAAGCAAAGCTTAAATTTATCTAACGATTAATAAAATACTGCGATTCAGCAAGAATCAGTAAAACTCCTTGATCTGAAATCATGCTAACTAGAAACTTCTTGATATTTAACCTTTCAAGTTTTTTTTGTTGTATTTTTGCACCTAACGTAAATTAACATAAACCATTGAAATATAATGCAATATCATGTCCAATGAAAAACTTAAGCACTCAAGGAATAATCATTGATTATCTTTAAAAAGGAGTGTTTAACTGCACTGTACTGGACAAAGATGAGATTAAAACCTATTGTGCATAATGCCATTTTCTCTCTAAAAGTGACGAAAACCCATTAGATAATTTTGAAATTAGTATTTGAGGGCCATTTACAATTTACATTAACAATATGGATTTCTGTCATTTAGATTTAAGAGACACTCTTCAGTTTTTCATAATGGAAATTCAAATTGAGTAGAGATTTTACGAAGGAAATTGTTCAACATAGAACATATATTTCTTTTAGAGAAAATGATCGACAAGTGTAAATCAACATTAATTTTCCTATTTTTTCTTGAAGTCGGCAGACTTTGAGTTAGGCTGCGTCACAAAAAATGTACATTTTGATTTTTAAAAAAAAATGATAATGAGTATTTGATAGAATAAATTTATTGTAAATTCTAGGTCATACAGGGAGAAAAAAAAAAGATTTATAGAAGCTGAATTTATATCATGTCAAGAACATAATCAGTCTTGTGGAAATGTATCTTATAATAATGCCATATTGCTTTCATTATTGAAATTTTACCAATACAAATTCAAAAAAAAGTTAAGTTCCTTACATAAAAGTAAAATAAAGACATCCTTCACATTTTAAACAAGTTTTGATTGCTACTCAGTGTTATCCTAATTTCGGGCATTTCAGCTTTTTTATTGTTACATGTAATAAACTATACGGTAAAAAATATTTATAAAGAGAGAGAGAGAAACCTCTGCTTTTAAGTCACCAGAGTCACTCAGGTTACCTATCCTACCTGTTTCCATCCGTTGTCTTGCATCGAGCGTCGTCTGTCCGTGAGCATTTTCAGCTTCGTTCTTTGAACCGCAGAATTTTGGTATATAATGAAATATGGAGATAACGAACAGTAATGAAGCTCAAAAGTTCATTGAAACAATGCAAATCGGGAGCAGAGCAAACACGGACCTCTAAAATACATCAGAGGTGGAATTAGGTACCATGGAGAAGTAAGCATTCCCTGCTGACCGGTCACACCCGCTGTGTGCTTCTTGTCATGATCGGGAAAACGGAAAAACCCGTGCGCAATTCAGTGTTCAAATAATGGCCAAACTATTAGTATGAGAAACGTCAGTATTTTGTAGGCCTAACTATTAGTATGAAAAACGTCAGTATTTTGTATGAGCGGAAAACATTTTGAATTTCTCGTTCTCTGTCTCCCTGGAGTATACGGAGTGTGGCTAAACCATTGAATTTAATTCAAAATCTAAAAAAAATCTTCTTTACTCCTGGGCATCAAGCAGCCAAACGATTAAAGGGTGCGCATGATTATAATTATAATAAGCAATAAGCCATCTATAAAAATTGTGAATTCATGATCAAGGGGTTCAAGGTTCAGGCACAAGGTGGGACTAAGTTGGTCATATATTGAAAAGGTATTTATTTGGAAAAAAAAATTCTTCTTTACTCGTTAATATCAAGCAGGCAATCTCTATTCATGTTTATAATTAGTACTCAACTTTTTTTTTTATCAAAACTGAGATTCATACCACCTAGGTACATGGTACAGGCCCTACGGTCGGGCTTAGTTAGTTACATGTTGAAAATTATTACATCTTTGAAATCTTTGTTCTTAAAGGACATTTAATGGGCAAACAAATTTTAAGATTAATATGAATGCATACATGTACCCCTCTATCAAAATTGTAAAATAAAAAAGGAAAAGAATGATTAGTAATAGATTAATTTCACATATATATAAGTGTTATATATAAAAAAAAAGTTTGACTGTCAATACTTTCTGCCTTTAAATGGCTCTTCAGACAGTTACAAAATAAATTACAAATTGTTAGTAAGGTTCATAATAACACTAAAATGTAGCATTATAATACAAACAATTAAAATCATAAATTATTAAGAAAAAATCAAATGGAAAACAATTGAAGTAAATTCTAAAGCAATTATGTTCTATTAAGTTTTGGATTAAGAGATCTAATAAAGTAGTCCTTGTTTGGTAATCTGGATATTTCACAGTCATTGTGCTCTTTATAAATTGGAAATATTTTAAATTTGTCTTTCCCAAAGATAACAAAGTGCTCACTGCACGGCGTATTTCTTATGTTAGGGTCCCGAATTTGCTATTTAGAGACGTATATACACGTGCTTCCAGTTTGCCGGTTTGTCCTATGTTGTACTGGCTATTTATTACAGGTTGGACAAGTCTGACATCTTAAAACATTTTACGACTTACAGGTCATGTTAGCGTTTGGTGCAAATTTTGAACAACATTTTAGAGGGTTTTTTTTGCAGCCCTCTTCCTGATATTGTCATACTCCACAATGTAGGTCACCAAACATTTTAACGAATTGAGGATTTTCCTCTGCAAATCTGGCTCTGGTTAGGTTTTTAAGATTGGGTGCTTGTCTCCTGCTATTAATTATATGTGACTCTTTCAAGTTTTGGGATTGTTTTAAAATGAGAAACTTCTCCAAGCTGTTCTCATCTTTTTTTGTAAGGTATAATTTACGAAACCACAATACAGATATATATAAACTCAGAAATTTTTAACTACAAGGTTACTATATTTGTATTATATACTGAAAGGAAAAAGAAACGCAGGGTAAACTTTTTAGGTAAAATAAGGTTAAATATTTTAGACGTACTCTCCAGTTATCCTATTCAACATTTAAAATCATCTTTAATAAAAATGTAACCAAAATCTCATTTGATTTTCCCCAATAATCCATGAGTTATTGAAACTCATATGACGGTACCCCAAAAAAAAGTGAAAAATGAAAATTCTCATTATCTCACATGTCTCTATCGTGCATCTATCACAGTCTTGATTCTCTTATGCATGGAGCTGTTTATAAGTGTGTTTATCCTTCTAATAAGGTTATTATTCAACCCTTCCGAGAAGGCAGCCCTTAGTTCATTGAGACCAGCTTGGGCATTTGAAACCCTATCGTCCACGTAGTCCCACAGACGTTTGATGCGAAAAAGATGGACTTGACAGAGACCAGTCAAGTGGATAAATGTGATTGTTTGCGAGAAAATCCTGACAAACCCTGGCAGCATTGGGAGGGGGTTAACATGCCCAAAAAATAGGTAAACGACGCACGCATGCGCGAGTTAGAGGAACACTTACGTAAAGTTGACGAGCTCACAAGCCAAAATCGCGCTATCAATTTCCTTCAGTTTTGGGGTGAATAAAACGATTATGATAGCCTGCTGTATTAACAGCAGTTTTAGGGTAATGTGATGGTAACTATACAAGTGGCAGGATGAATAGCCCGATCTTGACGTGAACGTACAAGTGAAGAAGTTTCATTGGTCTTTCATTGATACAAAATAAGTGAAAGTATATCATGCAATGTTTAGGTTACAATTCTGTAATTTTCCCTTTTAAACAGGTATAGATTTCTGGTAAAATACGAGGGTCATTCAAAAATACGTAGAAAATGTCGCTCTTCGTCATTTTATTTTAAGAAATTAAAGAACAGCGCATTGTCATATGTAAAACATTTATTTTGTTGATGTGAGCAGTTTCATTTTATTTGATCAAATGGAACTAATAATACAATATTTTAAAATCAACATGTTTTGTCACCAATGAGCACGCTTATTGACGTAACGTCAAAACAACGTCAAAATAGTTTCTCAAAAATGCACTACCTCTTCATTTCACATACAGTCTGTGGCGCCTTACACATTTATCTAAAAGGTTTCTATACCACTTTATACTTAGTTTGATAACAGTTATTAGAGTATCAACATAATTCGTCAATGTCTTCAATTTTTTTTTAACACGTAACTCTGCTTTCACTAGTTCCGCAAATGTGAAACGCACATTCCTTTTCATGACGTTATTAACGGTCTTGACCAGATTTTTCCTGATAATTAATTTCATTGGAGGCCGTTCATCATCCAATAAAGAGTCTCTTAAATTCCAAAAAATTGGATCGCTGCTTCGTGACGTCCTGCGACGTCATTTTATTTTTTTTTTTTACTTTTTCAAGAAACAATACTTGTCTTCTGAAATCGATTTCTGTTCAACGAAGCAATACATCACAATTCGGCATATGAAATGACGTAACCATACTAAATTCGAATATTTAATTTTTATTTTGTTTTAACGACCTTTTAAAGAGATATGACTAAAAACACTTTGTACATGTAGTGTATTGCGATCATATTACTAAATTTAAACTTGCATGCTCCTTGACCTCATTTATGTAGTTTTGTATTTTCAATAATTTTGAAATATATAATGAAGTATTTAAATTTTTTGTTCAAATTATTCGGATTTATTAATAAAATGTTTCTATCGAATTTGGTCATAACATGACGTTAAATAAAAAGTTATGACGAAAGTCTATATGTTTTTGAATGACCCTCGTAAATTAAAGTGTACTAACAAAGTTTATAATGTTGCTTTAATTTTGTAAAAGAAATAATTTCATTAGATTGATTTAAGGGCACTAGCTACAAACAATATTATAAAGTTTGGTTATAGAAAGGAGCCTTAAACCTCGTCTGACAAGATTTATTTGTGTTTTTTAAAGGTTATTTTTATTCTGATGGAGAAGGATTTGCAACGGATGCTTTACAATAAACAGTTAAACAAGAAATCCATAGGCCACAACGTTCACCTTACACAGCCCTGTTGTTTTGCACAAGTTTTTTTGCAATATTCATTCATCCAGTATACTTGTATTCCTGTGTGAAATTTTGTTCATCTTTTGTGGCCCCACTCTATATACAGTGGCCGTGATTTGAACAAAAAATGAATCTACACTACCAGATTATGCTTCCACATTAATATGATTCATCATGCTTTGCTATTCTTGGGAAGAGGGGTTTTAAAGATTTTTTCCCTATATAATCCCTACTGGGCCCTACCCCTAGAGACTATGAGCTGAATAATGTACACCTCAGGAAGCTTCCACGTAAATTTCAGCTTTTGTAGAAGACGAAGTTCAGCTTTTCTGGTCCAAAGGGTTCTTGAGAAGAAGATTTTAAAAGATTCTTCCTATATATTTCAATGTTAAATTTTTATTCCGTATTTTGGTCCCATCCTACCCCTGGGGACAAAGAATTGAAAAATTTACAATTTACACTACCCGAGAAAGCTTTCACATTAGTTTCAGCTTTTCTTGTCCAGTGGTTCTTGAGAAGAAAATTTTTAAAGATTGCTTCCTCTATACTTCAATATAAATATAATATGATATTGATTCCCTATTGTGGCCCCTTCTTTCCCCCTAGGGGATATGATTTGAACAATTTACAATCTAAACTACTTCAGGAAGCTTCCACGTAAGTTCCAGCTTTTCTGGTCCAGTGCTTCTTGAGAAGAAGATTTCAATGTAAAAATTTGATTCCATATGTGTCCCCATCCTACCTAAAGGGGGCACATATGGAATCATTTACAATCTACACTAACTCAGGAAGCTTTCACTGTAGTTTCAGCTTTTCTGGTCAAGTTGTTCTTGAAACGTTTTTAAAAGGTTTTCCTCTATACTTCATTATAAAACTTTGATTCACAATTGTAGCCCCACCCTACTCCCAGGGGCCATGATTTGAAGAATTTAGAAATTACACCACCTCAGGAAGCTTCCCGATAAGTTTCAAATGTTTTCGTCCAGTGGTTCTTCAGAAGATTTTTTTTTTAATGATCCCACCTTGGTTTTGCCCTTTCTTTATTATCTCCCTTTGGAAAGGGGTTTCCCCTTGATGATTTTAACAATCTAGAATCCCCTTTACCCAAGTACCAACTTTTTTTAAAATTGCGGTTCTTGAGAAGAAGTTGATAATGTGAAAAATTTACAGACAGACGGACGGACAGACAGACAGCTTGATGGACGGATATTGGACAATTGGTGATTATAAAAGCTCACCTAAACTTTCAGCTCAGGTTAGCTAAAAATGAAGGAGCTCAAGTTCACTTCACCAAATCATATGACTCCCTGTAAGCTGATGAAAGGGAAAACTGATTTTTTACAACCATTTCTTTGACTCTCACTCACCCAGACACATGCTAACATTTTAAGATCTAATTGTTTGGAAAATTGTAGAAAATGTGAGATACTTGTTTTTTCCCGCGTTTCGATAGTCAAAATGGAAAATGTAATAATGACAAGATATTTATAGAAATGTAGGGAGTATTGGTCAGGGATTGACCAATTGAGAAAAAAGCTGAACACGATTCGTAAAAGAAATGTGTCCGCCATATTCGATTGGTCTCTCGCTATATCTGAGGACCCCTATATAAAGCCGTTCACTTAGTCACTGTTCAGTGTAGTCAATCGTCACCGGTGTAGACGGACGTATGCTATACAGCACTCGGTAGCGACACAAAATAACTGTGTACTTCTTCTAATGCAGAAGAGTAAGATACCAAAGAAACTTACAACAGTTGCACAGGTCAGTGCAGTATACAAACAAACACAAATATACGTTACTGCAATAAAATGTAAACAACGGTAATGCAAGATAACCAGCACTAACAAGGGTCGCCATTCCACGCCCTTACCCGTGACAATAAAGCAGTCAGGTGTAACAAATGCGATGAGTATACCCCGGTGCTGATGTCGTAGATAGCAATATCAAAAATGGCGTATGCCTATATACGAGTCGTGTTCAGCTTTAAGTTCGATGTGGAGTAGAGAACTGACTTTAAAAGAATAGTCATTTTAACTCCCCTGCGAATGTTTTTGCAAGTAAATTTAAAGGCAGTTCTCTCTTGGCCCATTCAGAGGTTGTAGGTTAGAAAACAAAACATATTTGACAAAGACACAGGTTTTCTAAATTTTTTTTAAAACAATGTTTTAACTATAGTTTTTGTCTGGTTGGCCAAGATGCTTTTAAAATATTTATCTGCATCACAAAATTATACGCAACAGTTTTTTTTTAGCATTTATCATGGTGTATCTGTTATGTTTTAATCTTTAATGACTGCTATACAAGACATGTTGTAGTTTATTCTTTATAGTATTAATAGAAACTATAAGGCTAATTTTACACGTGTTCAATGGAACGCAAGAAATCATAAAACACCCATTCATAATGAATATTCCAGCCAACTTATAAAATTTACTTGTCCAAACGTTAAATGATCTATATGTATTACTTGATAAATACTACCATGTTCATAAACAAACTTTTAAATTGTTTTGTTGGTCTTTAATTCTGAATGTCTATTTTTTGTCCTTTTTTGTTGTTTTGTTTTGTTTTTGTTTTTGTTTTGCTCCATATTATTTATTTATGCTTAACTGAAGATCATCTATAGTGCTTAAGCTTTAACTTAATTTTCATCATTTAAACTTATATTAAATGCATATTGATAAAGTAATACTTTCTGGCAATATTTCTCAGTCATGCTCGACATAAAGAATAAGTTTATCCCCTTAAAATAAATTATAAGAACACAATATTGTTAAATAAAAACAAACAAACCGCATCTTTTTAGGTACAAGATCAGAAACTGTATCATGCTTATTTGTTAAAATCAAATTAAAAAGTATTTTGACAAACACGTAAATATACAAAGCATAAAAGAAACAGAAATATTGATATTAATTTACTTTCCATACATCTGTGGTATATCACAAGCCTGAGAAGCCCACGTGCACCTGGAACTGACCCTTCCACAAGAATTATTATTATAGTAACAACTTTGATTTGATCTGATGACGCATTCATTTCCTCCTATAACTGGGCAGTTTATTGCACCGGACGTGCAGTCAGAAATCTATAAGTGGAAAACATAACTTTGATGAATTACATGTGTTACCTTGCAGGTACAACTATTTCTATAAATTCCAAGGTTCAGGGCTCTTCTTTGGTATTGTGTGACTAAAGATGTTTCAGGATTCCAGGCGCAAAGGTTTGTTCCCCATTGCCCTTGAGAGTTGAAACCTGTCGTGTCATAAGAAAGAAAAAAAAAATGAAAACTTGTATACACGTACATGTTTATTTTTATTTTTTATTGAATATGTCACTTCTTTGTCATTCTACAAATGTATCTACGATCTGGTTTTTGGTATATATATATATATATATATATATATATATATATATATATATATATATATATATATATATATATATATATATATATATATATATATATATATATATATATATATATATATATATATATATTAAGAACCCGTTAGTCTGTTGTTGTTGTTTTTTTTTTTTTTCGAGAACCCTTTCCATTTACGATAAATGCAGAAGGGTCTATAGCAGCTGACGAAAAGGCAATCAGAGCAGATACTGTAAATTAACGTACGCTATAATTCCACGGAAAAACAATTTCTTTTATTTCACGCAGAATTTTCTTTAGATTGCCATTATGTGCTAGAAATGTACTTTAAGTACACTGGGACAAATTTCCGTGGAAAATTAGTGAACGCCCACATAGCATAAATTAATACCAAGCAGAAAAAGTATTTATACAGTACATACATACCTGAAATGATGTATTCTTTGTTTATTTCAAAGTTTGATCCACAAGCAGCAGATGATGAGCTGGTTTTGATTGTTCGGATTGCCGTTTGCTGTCCATACCGCATGCTGTCTCTCTGTCAAAACGATGAGTAAGTAAAGTAAAAAACAGAGAATCACAAAATGAAAATGTGTCTAATGAACAATAATGCTAAAACTGGCATTTAGTATTACACATCGGGCCTGTAGTGAGCCCCCCCCCCCCCCAAAAAAAAAAAAAAAAAAACTTTTTCGGATTAATTATTTACTTTAGTTTTAGTATGAAAAATGCTCATTCACCACCCCGCCCCTTAGAAATTTCATAATCAAGTTGGTCAGATAAGTTTTTTTATGGTTGTTTTCATCATTATTATTTTTATTTTTGAATTAATACTTTTCAATTTTTCTGTGATTCCTCCCAACACACCTTGAGAAACGCTGCTCTGGGCCTGCAGAGAAGGCCATTATATTTATTTGTGAATTTCAAATTGTGAATTCCTTGTTTGTTTGTTTGTTTGTTGTTTAACGTCTCTCTCGAGAATTTTTCACTCAATGGAGACGCCACTACTTGCCGGTGGAGAGCTGCAAATTTTGTCCTATACTCGGCACTTACGGCCATTGAGCAGTGAGGGATCTTTTTCGTGCCAGCACTGCTGCGACACGGGACCTCGGTTTATACGGTTTCATCCGAAGGACCGGTCTCCTCGTCCCACAGTGGGATTCGATCCCGCGAAGTAAGGATCAACTCCTTACTTCGCGACTCTAGAGCAGACGCTCTAACCACTGCGCCACGCGGGTGACGTGAATTCTTTGATAAAGTAAGTTAAAAAGTATACTTTAAAAAGATAATAGATTTCGAAAAAGATTTAACAATTATGAAATAAAGATAACCTTGAAATCCTGAAGTATTTGAACGGTGTACAAAATATCCAATCCACTGTTCACAGTCCTTCGACTAATGATCTTTGCCTGGACAACTAGCAGCAATTGTGAGAGTAAAATAAAACCATTAATAAAATTCAATATTACTATGTCAAAATTAAGTCAAAATTATTAATCAAATACAACATAGATATACACTGTACTAATGCAAGAGCTTATATGGACAAAAGGGGAAAAAATAAATACTTGTATATTTCGGATCTTCATATAGTTTTGGGTACAAATAATCTTAAAAAATGTTTTCTAAATTGTATTTTGTTTATGAAAATGAAAATCCGCGTAAAACAGACATGTTTCACCTTAAAAGTGATGGATAAAAAGCGCATTAAGTCATTTCTAGTTTTCATATAAAGGATTACTTACCAAAATGTGAGTTACAAAAATGTTCTTGTGGGTGCTGAGGAAGACATGTACATGCTTCTGAATCAGCAATGAAAGCAACGAACAGTACATGTATAATCAAAGTTTTCATTGTAAGGCCTGTCAAATAAAGATAGGAAATCTCCGTCTGTTCACAATTTATACATGTTATGCTCTTCAAGCCGGATTTTACGAGAAAATTTCCATTTTAAAATTACAATAAATTTATCTATACTTTGACGTCAGAAGGATGTAAAATGCACAGTCCAAGAGTGCAAATCGTACAGAAAGGATTGTGCAAAACGTAAAGGCTATTAATCATTATTAAAAATTCAACAATTTAACAAATTAAATATACAATGATTCCTTGTTTTAATTATGATTATATATGCATGACTACTCAACTAGAACATCATAAGAATGTCCTAAAAACTTCCATGATTTGTCGAGATGGCATTTATCGAAATAACATTACGAGTTTCCAAAAAAAAAAAAAAAAAAAAAAAAAAAAAAGTCTTTTTAGTGGCATTTATTTATTATTTGAATATACCTTGATTAAAAAAATATGTACAGCAAAGATATATCCCTTGACTTGCAATTTTCCTGAAATTTTTTAATTTTTTTGCAGAGATAACGGGATTTGAAAAATGTGAGAGAAAAAAAAAATGAAATAATGTTTTATGTTAAGTAAACATGAGGAACATTTATCAAAGTTTACATTTCCTGAATATGCATTTATCTTCATATGATTATATAAAAAATGATCAAAAGTAAAATGCTTTTTTTCAGGATTGGATCTACTAATAACTGTGTGTCCTATTGCGGGGAAGGAAGTTGGGGTCAGACTTTAAAGAAGAGAATAGAAACCTCTTACGGTCACCCCCTTCCACTGCAATTCACTTTTGGGTGTTTCTTGCCCTTTTCCGCGTATTTCAGCTCGTTATCTTTCAGGATTTTATATGTAGGAAAAATGTTGATTTCTGTTTTGTTCATAGTAAAAAAAGACGTTTTAATCGCACATCTAGAAGAGTAGAGAGGAAGCCACTGAAATCTCTTTTATATTTTGCTTTGAAATTCTACGATAGAGACCTACTGAATGTCAAAGAATGAAAGTGACAATGTTTTTAATATTCAGAGTCTATGTCTAACACTCATTATCAGGGCCCGAACCCTGTACCCAAGGATAATTGTGTTCATACTGATTTGTGCTTTGTTTAGCTTATTCCTTTTACCTGGTGTAGACAAGGGACTAACAGCGAGTTTGACTTGTCGACAGAGGTTGTTGACTTCTCTATTGCAGATGATCCCACATCTGGACATTCGAAATATTCATTTCTGCCAGCTCTGATTTTTAAAAATTGTATTATTGAGCTAGATTACTGTGCAGTATCTTTAAATACATTCTGTAGCCTCTATCTTATTGGAAGTGAAAATGATTAATCTTTAAGCACAGCAAAGGACAGGAATGAAAAACACTTAACCATTAACAATCTTTAGATATATTTATAAATTTTAAGGAGATTTCCTGATCGTAAATACATGCGTATCAAATTTAATGAATAAAAAAATATCAGTCCCACAAAATAACAAATTGTTTCAGTATGATATATATACTAGTGTATTATTTCCTACAGTTTAATTACCATTTAATAATGCATTATAAAAACAGTTTGAAGACAGAAAATTTTCCAAACAAAAACATAACAATGCTGTTCAGTTATTTTATATAAAAAAACTGTTCGGCTTTTATTTCTGCATTCATGTGAAATGAAATTAAGGTATAATCCATGAAATACAGTTAATGTACAAAGTAAGGCACAAACGTGACAACTCTTTCAGACTAATTCTTTTGTTAGTATCATAACACTTTTCATTTAATATCGATTTATTGCATCTCACAAATATAAACATGACGATGTTTCTGCACGAGAGGCTGACCAATTATTTTTTACTTCTTATACCGTGTGTTCCAGGAGCACGCATTGGAAATCCACCTGCAACTAGAACCACTTCCGCTTGACTGAACACAAGTAACTGTTGATTGTCGAACTAAATTAACCAGGGAAACATTGATAAAAGTATGAATAGATATAAAACCTAGAAGTTAGTAGTCTAAAGAAATTACATCGGATGCAACAAGGGTATTTTAGGGTTAAGATGATAATTAAAAAATCTTGTAATGGCTGAACTAGTCATGATATTAACGGAACGGTACAACATATAGCTAAGTATCTGTTACTTTAAATTTTCAATATTAGATAAAAATAAAAGTAGAAATTATGTCTTATAGACTAAAAGGGGTTATATGTTTTGATTTTTAAAAGAGTAAACGGCTTTAATTACCTCCAAAGATATAGAAGGTATTAGTGGCATTTTATGATATTATTTACTTTGTAGCCTTTAGTTGATTTTTGAATGATTCTGATTATTATAGTAACGACAACAACAACTTAGCGAAATCTGAAGAACAGAAATGTTCCTGTGGATGTAGAGGTCTACATGTACATGATTCAGTAGAGGTTATGTAAACGGCGAACAATACGAAAAAGAACACAGCGTTTCTCATCTTAATCCATACAGGCAATATAAGGTACCTTGTCTCCTCAAATGCGCATATATTTAAATTATTTAAGGCGGATATTTCCTTCACAGAACATGTTGTTAACATGTTGCTCATTGCATTGTGGTAGAGGCTCGTGCAAAGAATGATTAACAATTTTTAAAATAAAAATATGCGATAAAAGCAAAATATTTAAGGATCTAAACATGTGAAATATAATATGACAATATTACGAAAGTATAAGCCATGATTAAATATCCTTACTTAAAACAAAAATTCGATGTAAGGTACTGATATCAAGTAGAGACCTTTAAGGTGCCTCTTTTTCGAATAAATGACATGTAATTAACACTTAAATGTCAATGACAAATGGCCTAGTTAAAAGCATGTCAGCATTTTTTGTACTGCAGGTTAACAACTTCTGTATTAAGGGTTCAAACACGTTTTGCTTCCTATTTATTCTCAAAATAACAAGATAAGAAGTTGCACTGTAACTAAATTTATTCAAAAATACTATGTTTGCCTTGAGGGCTCATGCAACAAACTAAGAATAAAAGATAAACAAAGTACTATAGATGGAAATGGAATACGTCGACATAAAAACACAATCTTTATTACTCTGTGAAATGAATATGAATGCAGGCTGAGGACAAGTAGGCTTGTCCATGTGTCGCCATGTTCATTAGCACCTGATGCGAAGTATGTTTGCAGGTTGGGTACCTGAGTAAGATGCAGGCTGAGGGCAAATATTTGCCTATATGAACATGAACACTAGCGCCTGAGAAATCAGAGTAATTTTAACGTTATCAATAATGGCTAATATGTAATAACACTAGTTCGATGAGTATTCCATAATCAATAAGCATGGTTCAATTCAAAAAGTTTCCCTTGCTTGGGAAAAATCAATGGTATAACCATTGTGTATGCCATAAATGCTGATGGATTAGAATCTGTGGACAGATGAAAAGACAGCTGCATGAGCCCAAGTATGGGAAAATAAAATGCAAATTATGTTCAATTGAAATGTTGCAGCTGGCAGTTTGTGTACAAACATAGACTTAAGTCATGCACTTGTTTAACATAATTGTAACCTTCTTAATGACAAGACACAATATTACAAACTGCTACCTTGATACATGTACATCTAGTTCTGTTGTCCAGATTAGAGAAATTATTTCTGACTATTCAACATGCTATGTTGAGCATCTTGAAGTACTAATTGGGGTG